TAGATGCAGAGAAAGCATTTGACAAAATACAGCATCCTTTCTTGATAAAAACCCTCAAGAAAGTAGGGATGAAAGGATCACACCTCAAGATCATAGAAGCCACATATGAAAGACCCACTGCTAATATTACCCTCAGTGGGAAAAAACTGAGAGAGTTCCCCCTAAGGTCAGGAACATAACAAGGATGTCCATTCTCACACAGTATTGGAAGTCCTAGCCTCAGCAATCAGACAACACAAAGAAATAAAAGGCATCCAAATCAGCAAGGAGGAAGTCGAACTTTCACTCTTCATAGATGACATGATACTCTATGTGGAAAACCCAAAAGACTCCACCAAAAAACTGCTAGAACTCATACATGAATTCAGCAAAGTCATAGGGTATAAAATAAATGTACAGAAATTGGTTGCATCTCTATACATCAATAATGAAGCAGCAGAAACAGAAATCAAAGAATCGATCCTATTTGCAATTACACCAAAATCCATAAAATACCTAGGAACAAACCTAACCAAAGAGGTGAAAAATCTATATGCTGAAAACTATAGAAAGCCTATGAAAGAAATTGAACAAGACACACAAAAAAATGGCAAAACATTCCATGCTTATGAGTCTGAAAAACAAATATTGTTAAAATGTTGATACTACCCAAAGCAATCTACATATCCAATGCAATCCTTACCAAAATAAACATCAAAATAACACCATTCTTCACAGAGCTAGAACAAACAACCCAAATATTTGTATGGAACCAGAAATGACCCCAAATAGCAAAAGCAATCTTGAAAAAGAAAACCAAAGCAGAAGGCATCAAAATCTCGGACTTCAAACTATACTACAAAGCTGTAATCATCGAGACAGTATGGTACTGGCACAAAAACAGACACTCAGATCAATGGAACAGAACAGAGAACCCAGAAATGGACCCACAAACATATGGCCAACTAGTCTTTGACAAAGCAGGAAAGAATATGCACTTGAAAACAGACAGTCTCTTCAACAAATGGTGCTGGGAAAATTGGACAGCAACATGCAGAAGAATGAACCTGGACCACTTTCTTACACTGTACACAAAAATAAACTCAAAATGGATGAAAGACCTAACAGTAAGACAGGAAGCCATCAAAATCCTAGAGGAGA